CAAAGAACACATACCATTATAAAGCATATTACCTATCCGAGTTTTTAGTATTTTGAGATGCTACCATCGGGGAAACATGGGATTGTACACCCCATTAACATCCATCATACCATAAGAACACACTTAAATAATAAAACAAACACACAACAAAGTCTGTGGAAAGGTTTAGGCCACAGCCTGTTTATTGGGTTTAAATCAATTTTAATTATGAAATGAACTTTAGCCTTTAATACCAAACAGAACCACTGGTAACCATTAACAGACCAACATGCTTAGTCACTAAGACTCAAGCAGCAATATCTACTACCAACCAAATGATGGTTTACCAACCACTGTCCACCCACAACGTGGGCAACATTACCCCACTTAAAGTTGGACCACAATGAGGGAAGAAATGACAAAGGGGGGGGAGGGTGGGAGAGCAGACCAAAAGATCCAGAAAGAAGGCTGAGGAGAATCCAGAGGTGAGTCCAGCTGACAGACTTGAGGCAAATGCTGACTCCGCCCAGTGACAAGAAAGGATATAAGTGAAAGGTTACACTCATTGGCTAGATGTAAAATGACATTTCAATTCAAAGGAAGTTACACAAGATTTCTAACAGAAGTATTTCTTTTTACATGCAGATAATGTAAAAAAAAAGATGCAGAAAATGCTGTACATTTTTTGACTGATAAGGCGCATAATTTTTAATTTTTGCTCTTGGGTCCAGATATACATTAAGGGTTTCTGTATAAAAAGTTGCTGTGCAAATGTCTCAGGCATTTGCTCAGCTGTCACAAATAACCCTTTATTTTGCCTAATACTTTTTTTTCTTTGATTGTCAGCTCCATCTAGTGGTCATAATGTGCTATTTTTCCTGAAATACCTCAGGAAAATACTGCATTCTGGTCACTAGATGGAGCTGACAATCACAGGAAATAATATGTTCGGAAAAATAAAGGTTTATTTGTGACAGCTGAGCAAATGCTTGAGACATTCACATGGCATTTTATTTTATATAAATAAACACATAAGTGTCCATTCACTGTTGAATCTATGGCTGCTTTAAGTCAGCTTTGATTTGATAAATTTGTTGTAAGGAAAACCCCATAACTTATTATAACAAACATTCTTGTCAAAATTAACATCTTGCATTAAGCTAGTAAATGTCAGCATATTAATGAAGTTAGCTAGCAAAGATTTACCATTTTGCAGTACTCCTTCACATCCCATGTATAACATTATCCATGAAAAAAAAATATCATCACTTGCTTACTGCCATTCCAATTTAATTCATTCATGGTCCCACAGGGAAGATACGTGTGCCTCATTAGCTCTTTTTCCAAACAAACAGGATCAGTAACAATTGAAATACAGAATTCCTGCCATAAACATGGTAATACATGTAGATACTTTAATTGGCAAACGGTCAGTGACCCTTTTAAAGAACTGTGGGACAATTAGAACTAGAGATTTTATGTGTCTAAATATGCTAGGGCAATAAATAGAGCATGGGTACCCAGGAATGCCATGAACGCAGGCTATGGCCAGAAAAACTCAGAAAAGGCAGAAGCAGGGGAAGCCTCAATTTTAGCAGCAGCAGCAGCAGCAGCAGCAGCAGCAGCAGCAGCAGCAGAGGCAGCGAAGATGCAGGGGAAACCAGAAAAAGAAGTGGTGGAAATTCAAGCAGGACAATGCACTAATGTCAGTGACCAGCAAAATGCACACTGCACCAAAGCTGACTGCCCAACAACCCACCATGATATAACACATCATGACCGTCTATCATGCTGGACTTTGTATGTATGTGAACTAGGTAGGAAATATATGTACAAAATATTTAAAATACTTTATACCAAAATAATTTATATTAACATGAGTTATTTTATATCTTAATATAATATATATGTCTGTTTAACTAAAGGGATTTTTTTTACGTGTTATATCTGTATATATTTTCCAAAGGCGTCATTGTTGATGAGGTACATACGTGTTTGCAGGCCCCCCGTGCTGTTTAAATTGTTTTTGTGTTTCTAGCTAGCTAATATTTCAAAGTTCCCTAAAAAGAATACATTTTCATTTGTGGTTTGTTTGAGAGCCACGTGGAGCCATTTTCTGCTACACTCAGGTCAACTTCCTGTAATAAGGCTTTTGACACCAGAGCTATTCTGTGAACTTGAATAATTTAAATCTTTTGTTAACAATTAACATGTCATTTTTTTTTTCAACTTTTGGCTCCTGTCCTGACAGTAACTGAATATCTTTTGTGTGATGGGCAATTCCATTTCTACAACCACAGGATACCGGCATTATAAAGCCTGGCAGTAAGAGGCTCTAAAGCCAGGATTCCTCCTACCTATTATAGTTTTCGCAAAAGCACTGTTATTTTTTCTGTACAATTTCCATTATAAATTTATTCCATGTTTCTATTGTTTCAAGCTTTAAAGATCTCATGGTAACCCATCTTTTCATCTTCATTTACACAACTGATGTGGATGTACCACATAAATTGTATAAGGACTCAAAATGTTCATCTGGATTAGACCAGTCAGGATATCAAAAAAGGAGACATTACAAAATAAAAAATATAGTAAAGAGAACTGTGTCACATACTATACTATAATTCATACACAACACATACTATAATAATAAAAAAAAAAAAAAATAAGGTGGATGATTAAAGCTATTCCTAAAAATGTGCCTTGCAGTGGAACTTTTCTCATGTGGCATGGATTAAATGTGTTTTTTTTTTTCTAAGGATTGATGAACAAGGTGAAATATGTACCTTATTCCTCGCTCCCCACAGCCTGTGTTCTGCATTACTCCTGGGATGTTGAGTACCTTTTGGCATCTACATGTACAAGGAAGGACTAATGGTCCTGCATTATTCATGTTGATGTCAGAGAGCTGCAAAATGTGTAGTGAAGAGCAGTGACTTCAAGGGAGTGGTCACAGAGCAGAAAGGAATCCTATGAGCATATACGGCCTTATTCATCATTTCCTTGACTAATTGAGCCATTATCCCTTACAGTGCAGGGGATATCCCAACTTCAAATAACTTAACCAATCACAAATCCATCCTTTGCTAAATTAAATTAAACCTGTACTCATTTTCAAACATTTAACAAGTCATGTCTATGAACAAATGTTGCAAGATACCAATTGTTACTTTTTTTTTTTCTATCTATCTATCTATCTATCTATCTATCTATCTATCTATCTATCTATCTAATCATTCATTTTTTTAGAACTATCTATCTTTACCCTATCTGATTTTGCTTCCCTTTGTTATCTGACTTCGTGTCTGACCCGAACCAAATGCAATTTGCTCTTTCAAGTAGAATTGTTTTTGCTAAATACCTAAGCAAAATCCAGTTGGACAGATAAACAGCAGCTGGCAGGGCTTTTTTACAATCTGAAATCTTTTTTGGTTAAGGGTGTGGCTGAAGCCATAATAAATCTCTTGGACATTGTATATATACTGTATGTGTGACAAGTATGTTTCTTGTATCCTATCTTCATATGTAAAGCACATAGGATACTACCATAGTATATTGATTCCTGAGTTTGTTTTGAAAGCAGCCTGTAATTATCTGTATCGTCACTAAAAGAAGGTGGATCTGCAATGGTATACATTTGCTTACTGGGAACATGGTGACTGGAGTACAGAGCACAGGCAGCAGACAGATGATTTTCACTGTGTTACTACCTTTTCATTTTCCATTCAATAGGCTGAGTTTATGTTATTGACCAAACAGTGCAGCTGTTGCAGTCGAGATTGGGAACCTAGCTGTGCTGTCTTGAAGGGGTGTCTGGATCATAATTTACTAACAGCTCATATATACTTTCTGTTGTAACAAGTAATGTTGGAGCTTATATTGGTTTTTAATGTTTCACAGATTAAAAGACAAAGATACCTTTGGAACAAGCTGTCTTTAAAAGCATGGCTTCTCCTCCAAAGCAAAGTCTATTCACTTAGAAAGCATTCTTACTGGTTCTTCTTCCTATGGCCTACGTGCTGTGCAAAATATAAACACAGAAATAAATTGTGCACTTAGTGTAAAAAGAGGTAATACAGCAACTTATATTCTGGACACAAAGGAATTACAAAAATAATTAATTTAAAACATGTACAAGACCAATATATCTGTAGAGATCAATGCAAAATTGTGTGTAAGAAAAATAAAATTAACTTCTATTAAACCATAATAAACAATGTGCATCACATAAATGGGGAAATGGCAGTCACATGACCTATAATTCACTCATGAATAACAAAGAAGTTAATACAAAGTTATAAAATATATAAAAGTCCAAATGTTAAATCTTGAAAATGATGAAAGTCCATGTGTGAAAATCCAAAACCACCTCACAGACAAGTGTGCCAGTTCCCTTACCAAATGGTTACGATCTCTAAATGATAAGAGATCAATAGCGCAGAAATCATCCAACTGGGGAGTCACCACTCAGGATACCACTGACTCCACCGCCTCCCCAGTCCTTCAATAGTTATCCAAAAGCAGCACCTCAGAGTAATAATGAGTAGGAGAAAGAATAAAGAACCATAGAGTAGTATGCTAAAACCACATGATTTATTAAAAGTAGATATACTCACAAACATTAGAGTAACATAGGCAAACACCCCACAACAGGGATAAACAGCGGGTGTGCAACATCATATGCCACTGCCCTCACCCTACTCGTGTTTTGTGTGGTGCAACAGATGTCTTCAGGGTTAAAGACCAAATATGAATCCCACCAGGGTATGGTAACAACCCCCATGGGCACCGGATCTTCCACTGGCTTTATGGAAAGTGCAATTCTTCATAGTAAGATTCATGAGAAAATATAAAGTACTATAGAATAATACTGCTAAAAAACAATTTATTTACAAGCAAATATACTCACAAGCATCTTAGGACCCGGTGGGCGCTATTGATCTCTTATAATCTGTAGATCATGGTTATCCAGTAAGGGAGTTCACATACCCATGTTTGAGGTGGTTTGGGACTTAAAGTGTTATCCACAACAGTAAAATCAGTCTGTATATGCAGTAAAGCATGCTTGTTATACTTGCTGTGGAACCTAAGGGCCTAATCCTCTGCATTGTGTAAAAAGGATGTTTGATCCTAACTTCTCTGTTCCTCCCTTTCTTCCAGTGTCTCCCAAATACCTCCTGATAAGACATATCTTGTGTACTCTGCAGATGCTCAGTTTGGTTTCTAGAGAGGTTTTTTTTTTTTTACTTGGGAGAGTGCATGTGATCAGCACAGAGCCAATTAGCACTGCCCAGAGAGAGGTCAGAGGTTCTATATCCTCCTAGAGAAAACTCCTTCTACAAGCTTTAACCAGTGCTCTGGTGAACACTGATATAAGTCCTAAGACTGCTCTAACTGCTGATGAGAAAAGGTATTTAGCAGTTTATATTTTCTAAAATAGTTGCATTTCCATGTTCTGTGTACTATGGGAGATCAGATATAGTGAATGCAGGGACCTGGGTTTTGTACCACTTTAAGCACTTGGAAATGTGGTGTTTTATTTGTACAAGCTCCCACACTGCCTCCCTACTGGAGCCCTGAAGTATTCCTTCGGGCTTGGACTTTCATTTCTATTACAGTATTGTTTGATTCTTGGTATACGATTTCATCCTTTCACTTTATTGGTGATTTTATTATTTGATGCTGATATTATTCCTATTATTTTATCATTTGATTTCATTGTGAATTTTATGGTTAGAGGTTTTGCACACTCTATTTGTATATATATATATATATATATATATATATATATATATATATATATATATATATATATTTATATTTACAAGGGGCTTGAAGAACAGTGTAGATTTATCAAAGCAAAACAAGAACAGATTGGCAACAGTTTTGGGCATTACATCCTTCATCAGGCCAAGTAGCAAATCTTAAGCAGAGTATTAGTGAGCCATACAAGTAGTAATGGCACAAGAAATTATAATTACATATAAACTAGACACAGTCTCAATAACAAATTAATTTCAGGTGTGAATGCATAGTAATACTATTGAAAGACACTAGTGGCAGCTGCATCTAATTACTACTCAGTAAGGAAAATATCTCGAAGACTAGTCATAAACTATAATAAAATTCCAATAATTAAAAAAAATTAACAAAACAAAACAAAAAAAAAAAACACTCAAAATAAATTGATTTAATCCATATGGGTATAAAGTATTTAATTTCTGTATCCTGAACACCTTCTTTTTTCCTTTACATTTAGGTACTGAGTTCATCATTAAATATTTTAATTGGTGCACTTTGGGGTGTATTTACTAAAGGCAAACAGACTGTGCACTTTTCAAGTGCAGTTGCACTCATTTTCCCTAGAGCTTAGTAAATGTGGTGAATCTTTGCCTTGTAAAGAATACCCAATCAGGTGGAAAGCAAAAAACAGCATTTTGTTATGTATATGATTGGATGATGGAAAGCAGCAGAGCTCTATCACATTCATTAAGCTACAGAGAAAATGAGTGCAACTGCACTTGCAAACTGCACAGTCTATTATCCTTTAGTAAATCCACCCAGAGTGTGTTGCTATGCTATAAAATACCTTGTTTTTTTTCATTCAAATGCATTTTTTAAAATGAAAAATATTAATATTTACAACTATGGGGTGCATTGATGGGATTAGATGCTGCAACCCCATAATTCCATCCTGCAATGTTAGAGGAAGAATTAATTTATGTTCAGGATCTATTTACATCTCATTGCCTCACTTGGATGTGGTTCAGTGATGATGTGTTTTCAATGTAGCAGAGAGATCTGGTGTCATTTTTTAAATAACATGGTTCCGGAGCTTCACTGTAATGTACTGTATGTTATCTTTCTTTGCCTAACCAATTTTAAGAAATAAAGATTTGCACAAATCATGAACAACAACACTGTGCATATTAAAAGTACAGTTAGCAAACAAATATTGAAGCACACAAGTTGTCTTCCGCCAGCAGTTTTTAAATCTGTGCCTAGATCTTAATTACACTGGGTGTTATACATTATAGCTAAAGAATCTGTATGTGAAAAAGACTGTAGGAAATGGTGATAAAATTATTGCATTGTATTATCCTAATCAAGAGGTGGAAAATGAATGTATTGCAATAAAAAAATTGTCAGGATGCAGGGTTAAACCAAATAAAAAAGCTAAGATACTGTTTGTATCTCAGTAACACTTTCTAACAAGACTTTCACATTCTAACAACATTTTTACTTCTATTCAATGATACTGACATAGTCTACAGAAACATTATACACTGATTAATGAATATCAGAACCTTCTCTTGCAGTTTTTTAGATGAGGTTACATTGTGTATAACTGGATTGTGTGAGCTGATTGTGTTATACCACAGTCACAGGCAATTATAAGGAAAGAAAAGAAAAGGCTTTTCCTCATGTATTTACTGCTGTAATATAGACCAGGAGAAAAATTCTGCCAACCCCATGAAGGATACCCTATATCAATCAGGGATTATTATACTTGTGTTAGTACATATGTAATTCACATGATTAAATGCCCTCGTGGTCTTTGCTATATTGGAGAAACAACTCAAGTAACAAAGAGTTGCTAGATATAAGTATGCTATAAGAAACAATTGAACAGAACAAACCTCTAGTTAGGCATTTCATAAACGAATCACATACAGTGCCTCAATTAAAATATATTAATTAAAATGGTGATTGACTTAGCATCTAAACTTTATTATGCAGAAAACAGGGAGTTGTTGAAAAGTAAGGGGTATAGAGTGCTTACTACTGGTATAGAGTCCCCATTAAACTTATAAAGATATACCCACATAAGTCACACCCTGCTAGAGAGGCTGGGGTTACAAATACCTTCTTACATATTTGATGGGACCAGGGGTGGACTGACAACTCATGGGGCCCCCGTGCAATAGGGGATCATGGGGCCCCTGTGTCCTTGCCCAAACTCAAAAAAGCCTATGAAAAAGGTACCAGGGGCATCTCATGGGGCCCCCTACTGACCCCGGGCCTTGGGCAGTGCCCGAGTTTCCAAATGGTCAGTCCGCCCCTGGATGGGACCTTCCAGCGCTCTCATTTTTGGATCTAGGTCAAGGCAAACTCCATCCGTGTCCTAGACCCCCTTCTCCAAGACAACCCCTTAGTATACCTACTACTTTACATGTCTCAGCCTAGGAAATGTAAAAGTAAATCATAATACTACATCTTCATAATGCTGCCAAAAGCCTTATACCGAACTTCTGAAAGATGTCCCAGCCTTCAGCCATTGCTGAATAGATTAACAGAGTCAATACCATTGTGGAAACTAAACACTGGTACTTCTCTCAAAGAGACCAATATGACCAGTTTTATGAAATCTGGGCAATATGGATACTCTGCAGTGAAATTCCCCCAACAACCACTCAACCACAGTTGACAGTGAATAAACCCAGACAATTAACCTTTAGACATCTTCATTAAAATGAACATCCTCTTCTCTTCCTCCCAGCCTGTGATCATATTATAGTCACGTGGAGTACACTGTTTGTTGGTTAACTCCCCTCTCTTCCCTCCCCCTCCCTTCATCAGTGTTCACCTTCCTACTCATTGGTCTTAAATACCAATATTTATTATGCTCAATAACACAGGGGGAAGGGGGAAATTTACTAAAAGTGGTGCACACAGAATATGGTTAGAGATGAGCGAATCGAAGTAGCCGAAGTGGAATTCGAGTCGAATATCGGAAAAATTTCGAATCCGAAAAATAGCCTAATTCGGATGCGCGAATCGAAATTTTTCCGAAAATGGCGGCTGACATGTGCGGCGACGGAGCGGGGATGTCTGGGAAGGCGCGCAGACAAGGCGCGCTGACCCATAATGCATTCCTCAACGACATGTGATCGCATCAGCCAATCAGCAGCCAGCCAGCTAGCACTGTGTAATGGTCGAGCTATAAATAGCGGCCATTTTGGAATTCTTCATTTGCCTGCAGTCATTGAACAGAGGCAGACCGCTCTGTATTAGGGACAGGGACAGAGTTAGGGCCACAGAAACGATACTTGGGGACAGAGAAACGATACTTAGGGACAGAGAACTATTACTCAGGGACACAGATTTGTTAATTAGGGCCACAGAATCGTTACTTAGGGACAAAGAAACGCTAGTTAGGGACACAGAATTCATACTCAGGGACAGACAGAATTGTTACTGAGTGCCAGAGAATTGTTACTTAGGGCCACAGAAACGTTATTAGGGCCACAGAATTGTTACTCAGGGACAGACAGAATTGTTACTGAGTGCCAGAGAATTGTTACTTAGGGCCACAGAAACGTTATTAGGGCCACAGAATTGTTACTCAGGGACAGACAGAATTGTTACTGAGTGCCAGATAATTGTTACTTAGGGCCACAGAAACGTTATTAGGGCCACAGAATTGTTACTCAGCGACAGACAGAATTGTTACTGAGTGCCAGAGAATTGTTACTTAGGGCCACAGAAACTTTAGTTAGGGCCACAGAATTGTTACTCAGGGACAGACACAGAATTGTTACTGAGGGCCACAGAACTGTTACTTAGGGCCACAGAATTGTTACTCGCACAGACACAGAATTGTTACTCGCACAGACACAGAATTGTTACTGAGGGCCACAGAACTGTTACTTAGGGCCACAGAATTGTTACTCGCACAGACACAGAATTGTTACACAGGGACACAGAACTCAGAACCGTTACTTAGGGCCACAGAATTGTTACTCGCACAGACACAGAATTGTTACTCGCACAGACACAGAATTGTTACTCGCACAGACACAGAATTTGTTACTGAGGGCCACAGAAAACTGTTAGTTAGGGCCACAGAATTGTTACT